CCGCACCGCCCCGCGGCACCGCCACCGTCCCGCCGGAGCCGCCACAAGCGCCGCTGCCTCCCGCCGCCGCAGCCCGCTGCAGCCCCGGCTGGAAGCTCAGCAGAACGGGAGGCCGCTCTGTCTTCCCAAGAGATCAGTTTTATTTAGTTCTGTACATACAGGGACATCTGTACAAAATCCAACACTTTCATACTATGTAATGCTCTACCGAAAATAAAGTACACCATATGTACATATGAACTGTAAGCAGCTTAATACTTGTGTCCAGGGGGGTGAACGCAGTAGTTTTGCTCAGTCCCTCGCGGGGAGGGAGCGCTGTGAGGTGGAAGAGGCAGCTCCAGTTCTGTCCGTTTGGCTGATGTGAGGGGAAAGGCAGAGGCAGGAAGGGGCGCTAATGCTGGGGACGGAGTACGGGGCACGGGAGGGCTGTGGTGCAGCAGATGGGTCTGTGCACAAGCAGGATGTGGGGCAGAGAGGGTTAAGGCCTCCCCCCTTCACACATGGTCCCTGTCTCGCATGTCCAGGACGCTGGAATGAGTAGGCAGCAAACTAAGAGTAATGTTAAGGTCCTAAGCATTAAGTTCCCTGACCCCCGCTGCTACACACAAAGCTATGAGAACATCCAAGCTGCAGAGCAGGGGCTTGGGGCGCATCGCGATCCGGCCCAGCACTGGTCCCACCTCAGGGTGCTTCCTGGCAGGGGGAGACAGGCCCATGCAGAGGGCAACGAGAGCCTCAGCGCAGCAGCAGCCTCYGCTCCTGGTGTGGAGCGAGCGGCATCTGCACTTGCGCGCGATGGAGACGCTCAGGAACACGGTGGCAGCTTGGGACATAAAGCCCAAGGGAAGGAACAGCCTCCCGAGCCCTAGTCCTAGCCCTGCCGCAGGTGGCACTTGGCCTGTGCTCGTCCCCACCTGCTGCTCCTGTGCGTTGTCTGGAATTACCCAGCGCACGTCTCTGTGAGGCTGTGCCAGGTGTGAGGTAATCGATGGGCAGCCGACCACGAGCTTAGCCTAATGCTCAAAATAAGCAAGAACCTCCCTGAGGTGTTTCGCAGATCTCTGGATGAAGGGATGCTGCACAGAGGGACTGTCAGGGCTCCCCCGCTGCTCTGCAGAGATGGTGGCACGGGGAAGAGGGCAGAGGGAAGGGGCTACAGGACACACAGAGGGAAAAGCTTAATTTGGATTGGGGAAAACAACCAAGAGCAGTGGGGCCGAAGAAAGGCAAGATGTGCTGCACGCCAGCAGTAAGATCACAAGGGGATAGTCACTGACCCGGGAAGCAGTTTGCTGGTGAGGACAAGGAGAAGATCCAGCAGGACCTTCTGCAGCATCCCACARCGCTGCAAAGCGCCGGTCAGATGAGCGTGAGCCCCCAAAGCTCCCTACGCTGCTGCAAATCCCCTCAAGCATCGAAAAAAGCAAGTAAGGCAGGTAAGAAGCATGGAAGACCCCCTTCTCTCTCTCGCAAGCCAGCCTCTCAGAGGTGGAGGAGATGTGCACCACAAGAAGTAAGGGACAAAGCTCAAGAGCTGGATCGTGATAGCGCTCCAAATACATTCGAGTACATTCGGAAGGCTAAATGACCCCCGCGAGTCCTCGGCGCGCCATGCGATAACTAACGAGGGCTGCAGGGCAGAGAGCGGGTRCCGAAGCAGTGGGGCAAGGGAGATTTTGCTCAGGGCACCCACCGAAGCGAGCCACTAGTTGTAGCTAAACACTGGTCCTAGAGAATAGATGACTGAGYACTCCCAAACTCAGCCTGGCCCCATAATGCGTATCCCAATGCCCACAAACTTGTGGGAATGGACTTGAGCAGCACAAGCTTCCTAGGAACTGAGGCCCCTGCAGAGCCACAAAGGGAGCTCTGCAGGAGTACTTGAATTGAGTAGGTAGAAGATGAAAGAAAAACTCAAGCTAATTCTGGACCTATGTCTACTCACGAGGCTGGGGTGGAAACAATTTAGTGAGGAGGACAACAGAGAGCTGAATAATTTTTTCTCCACCAAGAGCTTCTGATGATGCTCTCCAGGGAGGGAAGCAATTGGACGCAGTGCTCACACCCAGCTTCCCTGTGGCTGGCGAAGCACCGAAGCCCAACTCCATTGACAGGAGAACAGCACAGAGGCAAAAGAAAGGTAGACATGAACATCTCTGCTGCAGGCCAGGCCCTCCAGCTGCAGGCACTGCGCCAAGGCAGCGCCGTGGGGCAGCAGAGCCCTCACCAACTCATCTTACCCACTATCTCCTGCCCAAACGGAGCCTATCCCTGCTTGATGGCTTGGCTGTACAGGCAGCGTGGGGCGGGGACGTGCCAAGACGCGCACGGCTCTCCCTGCCGGACAGGGAGGCAGCACCCGAATCCAGCCGGGCTCCCCACACTCACCGAGATGAACTGCGCCCTGGTCCCGCCTAGCTCGGGCTCCCCCGGAGCCCATGCAYGGAGGAGCCCGGTTCTCCCTGTTGATGACAGCAGTGACATCCCTGTCAATGACAGCGGTGGCGCAGAGCGGCTCCTGGCCGCCCGCGTTCCACCAGCCTCCTGCCAGCAGAGGCAGGGCAGCAGCTCCTCCCCGCAGGGCTCTGCTCCTGGGGCAGAGCACGAGCTGGGCAGGGGCTGCGAAGGAAGGAGCTCCTGCCCGGCCCAACGTAATCCCTGGCCAGGCAGGCCCCCTTCACACACCTGCCGAAAGTGGAGGAGCAAAGGGGAAGAGGAGAAGCAGAAGGACATGGCAGTGCTAAGATAAAAGGGTCAACGTAAAACCAGATCTACTCTGGTGGGGGAGATGCGGATGGAGTGAAGGACAGGCACAGCTCACCATGTTCATTCCTTAGTTATACATGAGAACCAAGTGCGTTTCTGTGAACCCTGGGGGGGAAGGAATGGGGTAGAGCTTTGCACAGCAGCTCCCAGCCCGTCAGAGAGCCTCCTGGCTTGAGGTGAGGAACTCTTCTGCTCTCTTGTGGGCCTCCAGGGCTTTTATAGTGTAGACATCCTGAGGAAGCTCCGATTTCCGGCGCAGCAAAACCTTCTCCTTCTTTATGTCTTTCAGCATCTATAGACAAACCAGGGGAGTCAGGGAGCAGTAACGAATCTCTTTGCAGCTCTGGAAAACCTTGAGCCTCCCCAGCCCGACTCCAACCGCGCTACAGCTGGCAGGAGCATGCTGTAGAGAGGGCAGGGAGCCACCCAGAGCAGTTGGGCACAGAGAAGCCCTGCTCACGTTTCTTCTCCCCAGCCTGATCTCCAATCAGAGCATCAGAGAAGAGACATTTGCTCTCAAGCACTTGGAAGCAGCAAGTCCTGACCGCTGGTCTCTATATTGATGCCTTGACTGGTCTGAGAGACTGTAGAAGGTTTATGGTTGGACTTGATAATCTTAAAGGTCTTTTCCAACCATA